CCATGTGAGAGGCAACCACACATTGATGTTTCTTTCCCTTTCTCCCTTCCATCCTCTCTCTCTAAAAATAAATAAATAAAATCTTTAAAAAGATAAAAAAAAACATGACTTTTTAAAGACAAAAAGTTATATTAGTACCTTGCAGGGTTCTAATGTATATAAAACATTACACCCACACATTACGACAGTCAAGCTGCAGGGTATACAATATACAAATATTACTTGACTTTCTATACATTAAAGATGAACTATCAGAGAAATTATAAAAATAACTGCATTTATAATTGTATCAAAAAGAATAAAATACCTAGGAGTAAATTAAACTAAGGTGTTGAGAGATCTGTACACTGAAAGTTACTAAGACACTGATGAAATAAAGACCCAGATAAATGGAAAGATATCATGTGCTCATGGATTAGAAGAACAAATACTGTTCAAATGTTCACACTACTCAAAGCAGTCTGCAGGTTCAGTGAAATCCCTATTAAAATTCCAGCGGCACTTTTCACAGAAATATAACAAACAATCCTAAAATTTATATGGAACCACAAAAGACCCAAGTAGTCAAAGCAAGCGACTTGGAGAAAGAACAAAGCTGGAGGCAGACTTCCTGACTTCCAGCTACACTACAGACTGTGGGAATCAGACACATCAATGTGTGGAACAGAAAAGAGCTCTGAAATAAACTCACACATATATGGGCAATTAATCTATAGCAAAGGAGCCTGTGACAACGGGGAAGAATAGTCTTTTCAATAAACAGTGTTGGGAAAACTGGACAGTCACATGCAAAGAAATGAAACTGGGCCACTTTCTTATACCATCCACAAAAACCAACTCAAAATGGACTACAGACCTGAACATGAGAACTAAAACCATGAATGTAGGGAGTGATAAGTTTTCAGCTATAAGATGAACAAGGAAGTAATGTAAAGCATGGTGATTATAGTTGGTAACTATATATAATTGGTATTTGCTATTAGAGTAGAACAAACTTTCTCAACAACAAAAAATACGTATCTCAATAAAGCTAAAATTTAAAAAATTACATTGTTAGCTTGTTCTAATGTATGTAAATGTAATGTACAGATGTAGCACAGGAGATGGTAATAAGGAAATGACTGCATATTATATAAGACAGTAAGAATATTAATTTTGCCTGTGAAAAATTAAGAGTATATACTCTAGCCCCTAGAAAAACTATTTATAAGAAAGAGAGGTAAAGCTAAAAAGCTGTAAGTTAAAATGGAACTCTAAAAAATATTCAGAATAGCCAACAGCTGGAAACAGCATAGATAATGATCAAAATGGTAAATGCGCAGCCCTCGCTTCTCACAGTTCTGACACGTGTAATTTCAGTTACCATGTGCTATGGTTTGAATGTTGACATCCCCTTAAAATTGCCGTGATGAGATTAGGAGAGGATTAAGTTGAAAGTGTAGAGCCCTCATGAACTGGATTAGTGTTCTTATAAAAGATACCCAGAGAGTGCCCCTGCACCTCCATCAAGTAAGGACACAGTGAGAAGGCACCAGCTATGAAGCAGGAAGTGGGTGTTGGCAACCATGTTGGCCCCTTGATCTGAGACTTGCCAGCATCCAGAAGTGTGAAAAATAAGTTTGTGTTGTTTATAAGCTACCTGACTGAGGCATTTTACTACAGAAGCCAGAATGAACTAAGACACCATGTACAAGTCAAATAGTGGCCCTAACGAGGATAATTCCTAAGACCTGATAATGGTAAATGTGACTTTATTTGGAAAAAGGGTCTCTGCAGATAAAGTTAAGGACCTTGAGATGAGGTCACTTTGGATAAATGGGGAGGGTCCTAAAACCAATCACACTTCTTCTTGCAAGAGACAGAATGGGGAAAAAGAAACACAGTGAAGAATACAGGGTGGGGGAAAAAAAGTAGGTTTACAGTTGTTCCTACAGAAAATATAATAATAAGTAGTAATGCAGGAATAAACTGTGTTTTGAGTACTCAGAGCTATAAACCTGCTTCGCCCCACCTTGTATAAAGGGAGAGATTGGAGTTACACTGCCATCTCTCCGGGAACACCAAGAACCGCCAGCAGCCATGAGGGGCCAGTGCAAAGGCATGGGGCAAATTCACCCTCAGCCTCCAGAAGGAACCAATCCTGTCCACACCCGCTTTGGGGCTTCCAACCTCCCAAACTTTAAGACACTAAATTTCTACCATTTTAAGCCACCCCATTTGTGGAATTTGTTATAGCAGCCCTAGGGAACCAATCCACCATTGTTTAGTTAAATAATACTTAATTCTTCAGCACAGTTCAAATTTTAATTACCACAAAACATTAACTGTGAGACTTCCGCCAAGATGGAGGTTTAGGTGGATGTGCCGTGCCTCCTCACACAACCAAGTTTAGGGACAACTAAATATTAGCATCAGAAAACACAACCAGAACACGGAAAACTGAACTTTTTGGAAGTCCGCTAACAACAAAGTCTTCGGCCCGACCGGTAAGGGGCGAAACCGGCGTCGGGTGAGGAGTTACAAAGGAGAGCTCGATCGACCCGGGCGCGGAATCCAGACGCGCGAATCCAGTCGCACGGGTTCCAAACCCAGGATTGGACCTAGTGAGCAGCCCACCGGGTGAGCGACTACGAAGGAGTCAGTGGGGAGGCGGTGGCAGCGAGTTGACTGTGGTTGCCTGGTTGCACGCGGGTGAGGGAGTGAGTGGTTGGACCGGCGGCGGCGCCATTTCCCGCTCTGACCGCGCCCCCACATACAGCGTCACAACCCAGTGACCTGGGAATCCAAGGCGCCGCGCCTCCCACTTAAAGGGCCAGAACAGACCAAAAATGTCGCAGGGAGACCTCAAAGTCCCAGAGATAAATCTAAGTGACGAAGAAATAGCAAATCTCTCAGACGCACAGTTTAAAACACTGGTCATCAGCTTCCTCACAGATCTGGTGGACTATAGCCACAAATTAGAGAAACATATGAAGGCTAAATTAAGGGAAATGAATGGAATTCCACAGGAAACCCATAGAGATGAAAAAAAAACTGGGACTCAAATCAATGGAGTGGACCAGAAGGAAGAAGAAAAAAATCATCAAACAGAAAGGAATGAAGAAATAAGAATTCAGAAAAATGAGGAGAAGCTTAGGAACCTCCAGGACATCTATAAACGCTCCAATATCAGAATTATAGGGGTACCAGAAGGGGGAAAAGACACAACCACCAGTGGAAAAACTATTTGAACAAATAATAAAAGAAAATTTTCCCCAATCTGGCAAAGGAAATAGACTTCCAAGAAATCCAAGAAGCCCAGAGAGTACCAAAAAAGTTGGACTCAAGAAGAAACACACCAAGGCATATCATAATTACATTAGCCAAAATTAAAACGAAGGAGAGAATCCTGGAAGCAGCAAGAACTAAGGGGACAATCACCTACAAAGGAGTCTCCATCAGGCTGTCAGCAGATTTCTCAAAAGAGACCTTACAGGCAAGAAGGGGCTGGAAAGAAATATTCCAAGTCATGAAATCTAAAGACCTACAACCAAGATTGCTCTACCCAGCAAAACTTTCATTTAGAACGGAAGGACAGATAAGGTGCTTCTCAGATAAGACCAAATTCAAGGAGTTCATCATCACCAAGCCCTTATTATATGAAATGTTAAAGGGACTTATCTAAGAAAAAGAAGTTAAAGAAACATGAACAGTGAAAGGACAACAAACTCACAGTTATTAACAACCACACCTAAAACAAAAGCAAACTAAAAGGACAGCTAGATCAGGAGTGGAAACATAGAAATGAAGATCTCAAGGAGGATTAGCAACAGGGGAGTGGGAGGAGGAGACGGGGGGGGAGAAGGTACAGAAAACAAGTAGCATAGACAGTAGATAGAAAATAGATGGGGGGGGGGGCAAGAATAGTATGGGAAATATAGAACCTAAAGGACTTGAGACACATGGACATAAACTAAAGGGGGGTAATGGTGGGGTTGGGGGGGCAGGGTGGAGGGGAATGAAGGGGGGAATAGAACAACTGTAACAGCATAATCAATTCAAAAAAAATAAATAAATTTATTAAAAAAAAAACACCATTAACTGTGAGTAACTGCATAACATACAAACAGGGCTCTCAGCTCCTCTGGCCACGTCGCTGCCTATAACAAACGTGCACTGCAGCCCGTGACCCATCATGAAACTTTCCTCCAGTAGGTCTCCCTATTTCCACCTTTGCCTCGTCTTTTAACATGTTCTCAATGAATCAGCCCGAGTGACCCTTCAGAATATCAATCAGGTCGTATCACTCCTCTAATCAAAACCCCTATTGTCATCCATAAAAGGCCTAGTTCATCCAAGGACCTGCAGAGCCCTGCACAATCTGCCCCTTGTCCTGCGTCAGCCTCAGAACCTTTGCAGTGACCATTCCCTCCACCTAGAACATCATTCTCACTCGCAGCACGGCTCGCTGCCTCATCTCCTCCAGGTCTTTGCTCAAATGTCACACCGAGGCATTCCCGGGTATCCTGCACTAAAACTGCAACACTCTCACTTCCTGTCCCCCATTTCTGAGCATATTTCACTGCTTAGCCCTGCTCACCACTTAATATTTTTCTCCCTTATTTATCTTTTTTGTTTCTTCTCATTATTTATTTCCTTCACTAAAATGTTAGCTGTATGGGGGCTGGGAGTTGGTGTGATTTGTTTCATGCTATATCCCAAGAGATTAGAAAAGGCCTGTTGTATAGATCTCAAATTGGTATCTGTTGAATGAATGATCACAGATGACAAGTCAACCTCAGCACCAGAAACAGAATTTCTAGGGGATACTGCTCAGCTAAGAAACTAGCTTTGCTCATCTCTGCATCTTCAAAGCCCAGCATGATGCCTGAGAGAAGGAAGAAACTCCGAATGGACGATGGTCCAGGGCAGGAAGGAGGCGGCTCTCCACAGGCGAAGGCAGAGACTGGGACAGGAGCTGGGGCAGCTGCCAGGGTCATGCCCAAGATCAAAGCACTTACCCCATTCCCTGTTTGAAAGCTTCAATCAATTCGTTCTTTTTATTCTGATCTTCCACCCAATACACACTTGGAATTACAAACTCTGATATCACACGGCATTCTGGACACGACCTGAAATAGGACTCAGGTTAGTATGGAACAGGTTAAGTTTGGAATTCTGGGCACACTATACCACTAAGCCCCTTGTTCAAATGCATGACTAATCCAGATGTTTTCTGACTAAACCATATTTATAATTAAAAACATCTTTTTCCCAACAGTAAGACAGACTACCCATAAACACATGTTTTTCTCAATAAAAAGACCACCCAATTTTAAAATGGGCAAAGGATTTGAGTAGGCATTTCTCCAAAGTGGCTAAAAAAGCACAGGAAAAAAATGTACAACATCATTAGTTGATGCACAGTATCATTAATTATCAGGGAAGTAAGCACAATAAAACATAATTCACACCTACCAGAATGGCTAAAATCAGAAATAAATATATAACAACTGTTAATGGGCATACGGAGGAATGTAAAATGGTCCAGCCACTTTGGAAGACAGTCTGGTAGTTTCTTAAAATGTTAAATACAGTTATCACATGACCCAGAAACTCTGCACCTAGGTGTCTACCCAAGAAATGCAAACGTGTGTCCACACAAAAACCTGTCCATGAACATGCACAGAAGCACTGTTCATAACAACCAAAGGTGGAAACAGCAGGCGGCTTTCCATACAGCACAGTGTTTGGTCCAGAAAGGCCTGAAGCATGTACACACTATGACCTGGCTGAGCTCTGAAAACACCACGTTGAGGGAAAGAAAGATTGAGCCAAACACAAAAATGCTAAATACTGGAAGATTCCATTTATATGAAATGTCTAGAATAAACAAAACCAAAGGACAGAAAATAAATCAGTGGTAGCAACCAGGGGCTGGAAGCAGGGAGGGATGGGCAGGGACAACAAATTGATGTTTCTTTTTTCTTTTTGAGATAATGAAAATATCCTAAAATTAGACTACAGTAATGGTAGTACAGACTCTGTGAATATGAAAACCACTGAATTGTACACTCTTATCTCAGTATAGCTGTAATTCTACCACACAAGTGTGACTTTAGGCAAGTTACTGAACCCATCACACTGCAGTTTCCTCATCCGTGAAGGGTGGATGATCACAGGGTCCCTGAGAGAAGGACAAGTTACTGTGCGTGAAGAGTTCCGAACATGGCACACAGCAGGGCACTAACTTTGCAGCGTCAGTCTGCCCTGCTCCCTGCCCGGCTGGGGAATGAGAGCATCCTGTGCTGTTACGCACCAGCTATGTCTCAGCACAGCGGGGACAAAAGAGCCCTGTGCTGGCTCCATGGAGCATGTCCCCTGTATCAGACACGTGAAATGTTTTACATGTATTATTCCATTTATCGATCAACCCTATTTTACAAATGGAAAAAAATGAAGCTTAAAAAGGGCAAAAGGCAAAGGGCTAAGGGCAGCCACCAGTAACTGTTTAGTACTGCAGTCAAACAGGCCAGTGCCATCAACCTACTCACACGATGGTCCCTGCAGAGTGTCCCTCCAACGCTCTGAAGCTGGGCAGGAATTGTTACCCATATTTCAAAGGAAAAGGCACCTGCAGGGGCTCAGGAAGGGTAGTGATGTGCTGTTGGGAACCACCCTGCCTGGTTTCAGGAGCTATAAACCCCCCCCCGTGGCTAAGGCTGAGGGAGCAACCTTCAGACCATAAGCCACTAAGGAGACAAAGCTTATCTTCCTGGTAGGAGCGCTGCTTCTGCTCCCTTTTCCATAACTGGCCCCCAATGCTTGATCAGTTAGCCAATAATGGGTAAGATTCCCCAAGGGGGGAACCACCTAAGACAGGCATGACCACAGGCAGGGTGGAGGCCCCAGGGAAGGACTTGGGGGGCTATGGAGAAAGGGGGTGATGAACCCTCACCCCTCAGCTTTGATGAAGCCTGACTCCCCTGAGTCCAGTGAGAAGTCTCCGAAAATTCCTTGGCTATCTGCTTCCTCTGCCTGACTTAAGCCTGAAACAATGACAGAGGGTGGTGTAGCCCCATGCTGGAAAGGGCGGGCTTCCTGGGTGATCAGGCCTGAGAAAAATATGCAAAATCTTGTGAAGCCTGCTTTGCTCTTCAAGGACCGAGCAGGAAATGAGTTTGCTTCCCAAAGTTTTGCAGCCTTTTAGGTTATAGACCCTGACTCAGAAGCCCTAAGTTCTTTGTATGCTCTCTACTGTTTGATCCTTACTGCCTGACAACGATTAATGAGCTGTACCTATATTCCTATGCAAAAAAAACCCAATAAAAGCCTGCCTAGGCAAGGGTCAGCGAACTCTCCCCTTGAGACAGTGGCCAGGCCGCTCTGAGGTGCTCCCACCTTGAGGGAGTAGCAGTGCTGCCCTTTTTCCTGCACAGGACTCGGTAGTCCGTGTGAATTTGTCTCGAATCCCATCCATAATGCCGTGGACGGTGCAAGCCGGTGTCCACGTCAATGTGCCCAAGTTCACACACCCGGGGGCCAGCACTCAACAGCTGTCCTCTGCACTGAAACACCTCTGGAGGACAAGGAAGGACTGAAGGGTCGATGGAAGAAGGTCCCAAGCCAAACTTCATCCCTCACTTCTACAGCTAAAACTCCTTACTGCTGTACTTACTTTATGATTGGGTTCTCAAACTGCTTGGCACACCTCCACTGTCGGATGCAGGACAAGCAATATGTGTGATTGCAGTTGGAGAGAATCCCAAACCTCCTCTCAGAAGCAGATGCCTTCTCGAGGATCACTTCCATGCAGATACTGCACACTTTGTCCTGACTTGCCTGGAAGGCAAAGGCCTTTTCCATCTCGTGTTCGAATGTTGACATGCAGATCTGGAGTACACAGGAGGAGGAGGGAAACCTTCTTAGGTTCTGCGCTGCCGGCACACGGCTCCATAACCACTATCAGGAAGCAACAGGGGTCGGGGCTGCTTCAGGCAGGACCCAGCAACCCCTGGATTCGGGACACGAAGCTCCTTCAGACCATGAAGAGGACTTCAAGCCATCACTGGCACAGCCCCGTTTGTCTAGCATAATATGGTCGCCTCCAATTTAGAGCTGAGACCACAGAGGTCCCAAAAGGTACAGGACCACTGTGGGATCACAGAGCTCAGAAGAACCGGGACTCTGGTCTCCTGGCTCCTCTGGGCACCAGCTTTCCCCACTCTGAACCACACCAATACCAGAAATATCGAATAATCCTTAACTTGAAACGTCAGGCTGGCAGTTCAGAGTAAGAGGTGAAGAGCACCACTTCTCAAGAGAACCAATTACTTAATGAATTCACTTACTCAGTAAGCAGGTGATGTACAGTACTGTGTATCAGGCATTAGAGTCAATGAAAAGAATACAAAGACCTAGGCTCTGCCCTCGGGAGCTCACAGTGGACACAGACGTGCGATAAATCAACTTGCATAGCACCAAGACCTGGACCCACCTGCGTGAAGGGAGAAGCTCTAATTCTGCACTCATCTGAACAGCCCCCGCCCTGGCAAGACAAGGGAGGTGGCAGACTCAACCCCCACGTACTGTGACGGCCTCTACAGTGCAGCCATGGGCTCCGCTCCTTCTCTCTTACTCATCTTCAGAGCCCTGAACCAAGCACAGGGCCCACTGCAAGGCAGTGCCTCCAAAACAATGGGGTCTGATGACCTGAAAGGTCCCCTCAACACATGGCTCCTCAGATTCTCTAGAGCTCAACCTGGCTAGACTGCAGCCACCACAACATGAAACTCTGGGGAGGAAGGGTGTGGGCCTGTCTCTCTCTCTCTCTCTCTCTCTCTCTCTCTCTCTCTCTCTCTCTCTCTCACACACACACACACACACACACACACACACACACACACACAGTTCCTGAGCGAAACTCATTCTCTGAACTTTGCAGAGCTTTATGCTTTTGATGTCTCTCCTTTTTTCTGTATTCTAAATAATCAAGAATTGTCAAATGACAACAGGAAAAAGGACTTAAAAATAGGATCTAAATATACCAGGTACATAATATAGGTATTAATTGCAGACAGATATTTGCAAAAATATCAACAATTTTGTCATTTAGTGCATTTCAAACTTCTTAAAATAAGTTCATACAAAGGCTTGTAACTTTACCTTCTCATGAGCTTTCCTCTGCTCTGGGTCGAAGGGATGCAGCACTTGTAGCCTACAGATTTCACACATGTCCCCATGCAGGTAGACACAAGCCTCTCCAAACCGGCACTCCCCGGCAGCCGCGTAGGGGCACAGCTGCTGCTCGCTGCTGTAGGAGCTGCTGGCTTCTACGTAACTGAGGCCACTCCTGATTGCATCCAGGTAGGAATGCGGCTTCATTTCCAGGCTACTCTGGGGATCACTGCCTCCTGGAGCACTCACACTTGGGCAAGCCTTTTCTTCAGCCAGGCCAGAAAGATCTTAATATAAAGCACACAGCACACACATCCATGAAAACAAGCCCAACCATTCTGGTAAGCATCTAGTCAAAACCCAACAGATTAAGAAACTCTGACCTTGGGAATTTCTCTCTTGGGAACATATAGAAAAAACAGGTCAAGTAGGAAAAAAATAAAAGGAACAGCATAATATGTTCATAGTGACATTAAGTAAAAATATATAATGGGAAACACAAGGAAATGGCAAGACCAGACCATGATGTACTTATACAGAATAACACTGAAGTTACTATTTAAAAACTGCAAGTATAGCCCTGGCTGGTGTGGCTCCGTGGATTGAGGACCAGCCTGCAAACCAAAGGGTTGCTGGTTCAGTTCCTGGTCAGGGAACATGCCTTGGTTGTGGGCTGGGTCCCCAGTGGGGGGCACATGAGAGGCAACCACACACTGATGTTTTTTTCCCTCTCCCTCTCCCTCCCTTCTTCGCTAAAAATAAATTTTAAGAATCTTAAAAAAAAGCCCAGCAAGTATGGAAATGTCAACATTTGGAACAGTTAATACTAAAATGTGTATATCAATATATATTTTTCATATATATATAAAAGTCAAAGAGAATTTAGAATGTGATCAATAGAATACAGTGGTTTCCTTCATACCAGTAAAGTTCCCATCATTTTAATCAGCTTAACAATAACCCACAACCTTTGCACCGACTTCATCATTTTAAAATGAACTTGAATTAATGAAAATTTGGAATGAGTCTCTGGGTCCTGAGGTCAATGTTAAATTGCCCGATGGTGCCCGCTTCTCACACTCCTTTCCCATCACACACACACTTCTGGCCTTTTTAGAGGGGGCACATTTAACTGGATCAGTTACTTATTTACTTACAATGGAATGTGCCTATCTGATGCCACACAATTCTGAGAACTAGAAATCCCTTCACCTACTGAGGACCAGCCAATATAAACAACTTCTATGATTTGTAGACTTCTTCTTCCCCAAACCCTGTTCCAGGGTAGGGACCACTCCCCAAAAACTAACGTATTATTCTCTTACTAAAGGTGAAATGTAAAATGGCAAACACTGGCTCAGCATAAGAGCCATATGACCTAGAGGTGAAACAGTGATACAGGGTCTTTATTAAAACATGAAGCTCTGAAATGAATGATTTGGTGCTTCTCAGAACTGGGCAACCACAGTGTGAGGACAGCAGCTACACACTGATAAAAAAGTTACTGTTTATATTTTGCCAGGCCAAACTGGGGGCTCAGCTCAGCCTTGGGCACAAAGCTAAATACAGCATCTGAATACTCTGCAGTCAAATGAAGGCCATTTTCAGGACACATCTGGTGTATCTACATTCTGACAGCTTGCAGGGGTTTAGGTTAGCGGCCCTCTTACCAAGAGAAGACCAGAAAAGAACATGAAGAACAAGACAAGAATGCTTTTCAAAAAGAGGCAACAAAGGGTTCTGCTCACTCACTTCGGTCTCTAAGTACCAGTGTTCTCTTCTCACGTTTCCCAGGCTCATGTAAGTTAGTTTTCACAATAGGTGCATTGAGGTCGGGCGGAGGCTGAGAGCTGTGGAAGCCTGGGGACGGCACGCTGTGGGGCACGGAGCCCACAGCACCACCAGCTGCAGCAGAGGGCCTTGTGTGATCGTATCTAAACAAAACGCACAGCACACGCATTATGGACACACTACACGCACATGTCTCCCACACCGCCCAGACGGGGAATGTCCCACTTTGTTTCATTTATGGAGATGGAGAATTAAACAATCTTTCCCCATATTTTAATTGATAAAAGGCTTATCACTGAGTAAGAACTGCCTGGCAATTCAGAGCGAGCGGTACACTGCAGTCTATCACTGACAATTAAGTGTCCTCGTGGGACTTGAGTGGGACAGACACACAGCCTCAGACCACACAAAGAAACCCTGAAAATTCCAGACAGATACTAAACTGCAATCTCCAGACACCCCACCCAGCGCTCTTCTGGCAGGAGTGCCCACAGTGTTAGTAACAGCCAGTGGAACAGCTGGAGGAGCCCAGCCTTTCCTGGGCTGTCTCTCTGGGGCGCCCACAGGCAGGGGTAGGGGGTAAGGTGGGCCGACTTCCACTGTCCCTTAAGCAGCCAGACGCAGCCATGAAGGCAGCTTTGCAGCCCAGGAAAGAACAAAGCAGCTCTTCACTGCAAAAGGACAAGAATGAGTTTCTGTAATATTTCCCCATTGAAAAGTTACAAAGTTGTCTACAGATGTCAGTGGCAAAAAGGAAGACTCTATGCATGTAAATGCCCACTGCAGGAGCACTCACAGCAAAAAACTGGAAGCCACTTAAATTTCTAATAAGAGGCAGAGTTAATAAAATGATGATCTGTTAACATTATGAAATATAAAATTACAGTTATGGATAAAGTAGCGGCACAGGAAAAAGCTTATGGCATGTTAAGTGGGGAAAAAAAGATATACAATCTTATTTATATATGAGTGCAATTTTATGACTAGAGACTCCTAAGACCTGAAAAGTGTTTCTGAAAAATTAGTTTTTGGGTACTGAAATTGAGGTTTCAAATTTATTTGTCATACTTTTTGTAATGTTGTCATATTACTTAAAATTTAAGCTTTCCCTCATCAAGACCCATGCTCCAAACAAAGGATCTGAGTCCCTGATGGTGTCCAAATCAGTGCAACTGCTGGGGCAGAGCGGGGCTCTTGCCTGCAACGGGTCCCGTAGGCACAGCAGCCCTTCTGGTAGTACTTGCAGATGGTAGATGGCTTGCTGTTTGCCAAGTCATGTGAGAACAGGCACTGGTTTCCTTCCCGACACACACCGTGCATAAAATACCTGAAGAAACAAGCAGAGGCATAAAACTGTAGAATAACACTTTGCTATACAAAATCACATTTTTAACCGAGCAAATAAATGTCTATTATGCATATGTCATGTATTAAGGCTCTATTTGGCACTGGAGACATATTTCCTTGCTTCTAAGACATTTTATTTTTTTATTTATATTTTTATTTTATTTATTTTTAGAGAGAGGGGAAGGGGGGGGGAGAAAGGGAGAAAAACATCAATGTGAGAGACATCACTTGGCTGCATGTGCCCTGACTGGGGACAAACCCACAACCCTGTCATGTGCCCTGACCAGGTGTCAAACCAGTGACCTTGTGCCTTGTGGGATGATGCCCAACCAACTGAGCAAGACCAGTCAGGGCCTAAGATGACGTAGTGATTTTAGACACACAATAATGAATTCAGTGACAGCTTTTCTGAAAAGTGATCCCATATATTTCTACTTCAAGATATATCCTCTTGGTTTGAGATATGTTAACATATGTATATGTGCATCTCATAACTGAGGAAATACTATCTGGAAAACTCCCTTTTTCTCATGGAGCTTGTAGGGTATGGTTGTAATGGAGTCAAAGAGACCTGGGCCCAACACCCAGCCCTGCAACCTATGAGCAAGTCACAAAACCAGCTTCCCTGGGCTTTGGTAACTTTATCTATAAAAGGAAAATCACATTACCTACTTTACTGGACTGTGGGTAAGGATCAAATGAGATAGCATAGCACTAAAGATTATATATATATGAAGGTTTCACTGAGATGTCTAATTCTGTCCCTACAGAAATAACTAGGAGTCATTCTTTTTCTGTCTAGCCAGAGTACAGACCTAGATGAACACTCAGAGCGAACAGTAAAGAGATCCCAGAGATACACACCTTGGTATTAAGGGTAAACAGGTCCTAAAGTAAAGAGCATTTTTAAGTAAACATTTTATTTATTTATTTTTAGAGAGGGGAAAGGAGGGAGAGAAACATCAATGTGTCGATGCTTCTTGTGTGCCTCCTACTGGGGACCTGGCCTACAACCCAGGCATGTGCCCTGACTGAGAATTGAACCAGCGGCCCTTTGGTTTGCAGGCCAGCACTCAATCCACTGAGCTATACCAGCCAGGGGGGCATAAAAAATATTTTAGATACATCCTATATAGGAAATATCTTATTGTCACCCAAAACACACTTTAATACTCTTTGAAGGAAGACAAAATTCAAACACTCAAATCACTCAAAATGTTTGGCATCCAGTCAAATATTACTAAGACATGCCCAAAAGCAGGTAAATGTGACCCAAAACCAGGAGAAAAATTAGTAACAGGAATGACAGGTCAATCAGCAGGAATTAGAAATTAGCAGACAAGAACTTTAAAAACAGCTATTATAAATATGCTCATATGCTGAAGAATTCAAAGGAAAATGGAAAATATAAAAAGAACTAACTGGAACTTCTAGAAATGAAAACTACAGTATCTGCCCAGGCTCAGTGGATTGAGTCTTGGCCTGTGAACTAAAGAGTCACCAGTTTGACTTCCAGTCAGGGCACATGCCTGGGTTGTGGGCCAGGTCCCCAGTAGGGCGTGTGTGAGAGGCAACCACACAATGATGTTTCTCCCTCTCTTTCCCCCTTCCCCTGCCTAAAAATAAATAAAACCTTAAAAAATTTTCAAAAGTAGTCAAGAAAATTAACTGGAGAGAAACCCTATCAACATAAAGAATGTGGGAAAGCCTTCAGATGTTATCCAAGTTTTTGAGGACCTGGAAGGAATCGCTAGGAATGTAAGTAACGTGCGACAGCCTACAGGCCGTACAGTGCCTCCCACAGACACAAACGGGCTCTGACTGGAGAGAAACTCTGTGAAGGTGGCAAAGCTTACAAGATCCCAGTTCCTTAAAAACACACAAAATAATTCATACTGAAACGAAATTTTGTGAGTGTAAGGAACGTGGGTAAGGCTTCAGATATCATCACAGTTTTCAAACATATGAATCGCAGTGGAGAAAAAGCACATAAATAAAAAAATGTAGTGAAGCATTTAGGTATCCCAGGGATCTTCAATACCATGAAAGAAATCTCACCAGAGAGAAACTGCTTAGACGTAAACAACATGCTGAAGCCTACAGTCTCCAGTTCCTTACAAACACATGAAATAACTCATTTTAGAGAAAAACCCTATAAATGTAAGGAGCGTGGAAAAGCCTCCATTTATCACACAACTTTTCAAAGATGTGTGACGATGCACACTGAGGAGACTGCAGACTCTGCCATGTAACACTGCAGACTCTGGGAAAGGCTTCAGTTACCCCAGGTCATTTCAAAGACACGAGAGGACTCACTGGATAAAACCTCCTAAATGTAAACTTGAGCTGGCCCACACCATTACCTGTGAAGACTCCTCTGGAGAAGAAATAGAAATGGAAGTAATATCAGAATGCCTGATAAAAATTAATCCATGTATATAATGAACCAGAAAACTTACAGCCTGAAAGTTCTTATTAAAGAGTTGTAAATATATTGTGATATACTCTATTTACTGAACTCTGTTTATAGTATATCAATGGACTGTGGATTTCTACTAATTACTTTCAGAAGTGATTATTCATGTGAGATAAATCTGAGAATTGCCTTTCAACAATAGGACATAAGATTAATAGTGGGTTTTCCTTAAAACATTTAATAATATTTTCTCTCCATTTTGAAGCCTGCTAGATCCATGGGGGAACTGAAGTATATTTTTTTATACTAAGTTAGGGTAAGTGTTGGGAACCACCCTGCCTGGTTTCAGAAGCTGTAACCCCACCATGGCTAAGGCTGAGTGACCGACCTTTGGATCAGTCCATAAGCCACTAAGGAGACAAAGCTTACCTCCCTGTTAGGGGCGCCACCTTCGCCCCTTCTACTTCATACTGCCTGGCCCCCAATGTATGATCAGTTAGCCAATGACGGGCAAGGGAGGAATGACCTAGGACAGGCACAATCACAGGGGCCCTTGGGGAAGGACTTGGGGGGACTATAGCAAATGGGGGTGATTGACCCTCGCCCCTCAGCTTTGACACAGCCTGAGTCCTCATTCTGTCTGCGAGAAATCTCCTAATCTCTTGGCTGCCTTACTTCCCCTGCCCGACGTAAGCCTGAAACAATGACAGATGGTGGTACAGCCCGGCGCTGGAAAGCGCGGGTTCCCTGAGTGATCAGGCCTAAGAAAGAATGCATAAAACCCTGTGAAACCTGCTTTGCTAAGAATGTCATCCAGTTTCTGATAAGGGTCTGAGCAGGATATGAACTTATTTCCCAAAGTTTTGTAGCCCTTTAGCTAACAGACTCTGACTCAGAATTCGCTCTCAGTTCTTCATATGTTATCTATTGTTTGATACTTATTTCCTGGCAATGACTGATGAGCTTTATCTGTACTCCTGTGCAAAATGAACCCAATAAAGCCAACTGAGAAGGCTCTTGGCCCTTCTTTGAGAGACCGGCCACCTTTCCTCTCCAAGCAAATCATGTCTTGGTAGAATTATTCTCATCCATGGTGGTGGTGGGGAGGGTGGGGCCCTGTGGGCAGAACCCCCCCCCATAGGTAAGCATCTTATGTACAATGTTTTATTTGTTTTGTGTTAAGGGGCTATTTTAAAAGGACAGTTGAGTATTTGAATTTTCCTAGTGATTTGTGGCAGTCTTTTCTATCCCAAGTTTACCATACACAGGCTGGGACAAATGTAGGTTTACACTGGTGAGTATGTGAAACACAGAGTTTATTCTTATATTACTATATATTATTATATTACTTTCCACACACAACTGTAAACTCACTTTCACCCCACTCTGTATGTCTTTCCAGATTTTTAAATGCATGTATTTATATGTAAATATTTTAATTAACTTTTACCAAAATGAAAGCATACTGTATGTGCTTTTAAAAACATTTTACATGCAGTAAAGATATATGCAATATAAATTTACCATCGTATCCATTTTTAAGTGAGAAGTTCAAGTAGCATTAGGCACATTTACACTGTTGTGCAACCATCCCCACCGTCCACCTCCAGAACCTCTTCTTCTTCCCCAAATGAAACTGCGTCTACTAAGCACTAACTCCCTTCCCCACCCTCCCCAGGCCCCAGCAACCGCCATCCTCTCTATCCCTATGATTTAACTGCTTTAGGGACATCATATATGTGAAATTATATGGCATTTTCTTTTTGTGCCTGGCTTATTCCACATAGCATAAAGCCCTCAAGATCCATCCATGGTATATAGAACACATCAGAATTTCCTTCCTTTTCAAGGTACAATAATATTTCATTGTGTGTATGGACAATTAATCTATTCATTCATTCATTTATGGGCACTTGGGTTGTTTTCAATTTTTGGCTATTGTGAATAATGCTGCTGTGAGTGTGGGTGCACAAATACTTGAATATTTGAGTTCTTAATTTTCAGTTCTTCGGTGTATATGCCCAAAAGTGAAACTGCTGGATCGTATGGTGATTCTACTTTTAATTTTTTAAGGGACTGCCACAGTTTTCCACAGCAACTGTACCATCTTACTACACTGTATAACGGTGGCAATTCTCGATGGTTTATGGTATTTTCCTGTTCTTATTTTTGCTGCTCTGTCCTTTCTCACACTTCTACCATTATACACACTGATTTTGTAATAATAGATGGTTGTCTTAGTCTTATTTATTTTTAATGTTTATTGATTCCAGAGTTGGGGTGGAGAGAGAAACATTAATTGGCTGCTTCCTACATGGACCCCAACTGGGAATCAAACCTGTGACCATTTGGTGCATAGGAAGATGCTCCAACCAACCGAGCCACACTGGATGGGCAAGTCTTAAATAATTACAGCCCTGGCTGGTGTGGCTCAGTGGACTGAGTGCTGGCTTGTGAATTGAAAGGTCACTGGTTTGATTCCTAGTCAGGGCACATGCCTGGGTTGCGGGCCGGGTCCCCAGTAGGGAACACATGAGAGGCAACCACACACTGATGTTTCTCTC